CTCACATATCATTTTATCCCCTCCAAGGATGAGGGTTTATAGCATCAGCTCCCGTTTTTCTAAGACTTCTCACTTGGACCGAATTACACCACTGGCTTTCCTGGGTCTCCAGCTTACAAACTGTAGGACTTCTCAGGCTCCATAATCCCATGGGCAAATTCCTCATAAGAAGTTGTGTATACATATAAAATACCTTTTACAATAAGTGGTGATGTTATCCACACATTTACAATGGAGCCAACCATCTCCTTCCTTTGTTCTGTTTCCCTTTCTTGAGTTACCAGTTTGTCAATGTCAACATCATTTTTCTACCTGTCTCTTCTACAATATCTGCATCATTGTTAGATTCTTTCTTTCAACATATGGTAATGCCCCATCTTGTCTATTGGATTTCTCTCTCTTTTCCCATCCTCACTGTTACCATCCTAGTTTAACTCTTCATAATTCTGTCCATTATCTAACATGAATGGGCTTGGGACTAACCAGGTAGGTTATTGCTGCTTTTCTCTGGGTAGATAGTGGTAGAGGGTTAATACAGGCCAGACGAACATCATCAGAGAAAAATAACCAATCTGAAATAGAGAGAAATTTCAAGATATAATTGAGATACTAACAGTGATGGCACAAAGAAATTGGTTGCAGATAAAATGCTGGAACTATACCTGAGTTCTTGGGCTGGTGCCTTAAGTGACTATTTTCTTGCCATGTATTTTATAGCGGTCATTGCAGACATGACAGAACAAACATCTACGTTAGTTTATGAATTCATTCAGAAAATATGATTTGAGTATCCATATCTTCCAAGGTCAAGAAATATGAAATAATTAGGGGCATGGTCTTCTTTCAATGATGAGAGAAAGGTGATGAGAGAAGTTTTTGTGAGGAGATCACATTTTAAACTTGTACTATGAAGGTAAGAATAAACACGGGAAGAAAAGGATAAGAGACACTGCCAGATATAACAGCCTCCTACTTGCTCCGTCTCTTACTTTACTCATTAAGAGACTTTGTCCTTAGGATAAAGGTGATGATAATGATAATATGATTATGATGAGGACAGTGATATTGCAGATGACAGTATGGAGGACAATGGGGACAGTAATTGATATAGAAAAATTCTAATGAGAGCAGAGACCATGTGTCTACTGTTTGCTGCTTTCTCCTCAGCATCTATCACAGGCACAACATTGATATTCAATAAATGTTTGTTGAATGAACAGAAGCATAAATGAAAGATGATGGTAATGACTAGAAGTGGTTCAATTCAATTGAGTTAATGATAGTGTATTATGTCCCTCAAAACGAGAGACTGTCAATTTTTTTTCTGTTCCAACTGCTTTTAAGGAAGTGAACCATTCCAATGATATTGTATCTCAAACAATTAATTTTCACCTATTCTGTTGAGCGTTATCACCTAGTATTTAGCACATTGTTAATTATCACTTTGTAACCATTTGTAAAGTGTGAAAAAGCCAGCTGTACAGATTCTTCTCTTCCACTAATTGTGTTTTTCTTCAACCCAGAGCAATGACAAGCAGAAAAAACAGCATTTATGATAACATATCTAAAATAAGCTGATTATAACTTTCTTCTTAAAAAAATAAAATGTCAGTAATTCCTCTGAAGGTACTGACAAAAGATAAAAAGACATTATATAGAGTATCGAATGCTCCATTACAAAATCCATATTGTATTAAAAAAAAGCAAAATGGGCTTGCAAGATAGACTTGATTGTGCGTATCAAGAATTTGCCCTTATCAATTTATAAGTCTATTTACTAATACTTTTGTTTTTAAATTTAATTGAATTTGAGTGTTAAGGACAAGGTATTTGAGATGATAGGGAGGAAATAACATGCTACAATTTCTTACTGTACTCTCATTTATGGGTTTTATCTTTCTACATGTATTGCTTAACACAGTGACAAATCAATTGTGTGTATCTGCACATCTGTATCAATATAATACTTCTCTAGAGAAAGGAAAAATAACAGCTTTGGAGTCAATAATACATACTCGATTCAAATCTGAATTGTGCAACTAGCTATCTGAGTGACCTAGGGCAAATTATGTAAAAACTGTGATTCTCAGTTTCAACATGTGCAATGATTATGAGGATTAAATTACACCCAACCTAAAGTAGATACTCTTTGCATACCACTTGCCCAACTCTTTGTACACTTAATACAATGTCACATCAGAGCAATTATTGAGCAATTGGTGGCACTAAAACTTATGATTTTAACTACTCAACTGAGCTTTTAACTTTTTTAAAAATTAAATTTATTGTGGTGACATTGGTTAATATAATTATATAGGTTTCAAGTGTAAAAATTGTATAACACATCATCTGTATATTGCACTGTGTGTTCACCATCCAAAGTCATATCTCGTTCCATCACCATATATTTGACCCCTTTACCCTCTTCTATCTTCATCCACCCCCTTTCCCTCTGGTAACCACTAAACTGTTGGCTGTGTCTATGCATTTTTGTTTGTTTGTCTTGTTTGTTTTTTGCTTTCAGTTTTATATCTAACACATGAGTGAAATTATGATTCTCAACTTTTTTCTGTTTGATTTATTTTGCTTACCATGGTATTCTCAAGATCCAGCTATATTGTTGCAAATGGCAGTATTCATTTTTTCTTATGGCTGAGTAATAGTCCATTGTATATATGTACCATACCTTCTTTATCTGATCATCTATTAAAAGGCACTTTGGTGGTTTCCATGTCTTGGCCACTCTGAATAATGCTGCTGTGAACATTTGGGTGCATATATCTTTACAGATAAATATCTTCAAATTTTGAGAGTAGATACCCAGAAGAGGGATTGCTAGTTTATATAGTAATTCTATTCTTGATTTTTTGAGGAATCTCCATATTGTTTTCCATAGTGACTATACCAATTTACATACCTACCAACAGTGTACGAGGAGTCCTTTTACCTTACAACCTCTCCAACACTCATTATTACTTCTCTTGTTGATAATAGCTATTCTAACATCTGTTAGGAGTGATCTCTCATTGTGGTTTTTATTTGCATTTCCCTAATTGCTAGTGAAGTTGAGGATCTTTTCATATGTCTATTGGCTGTTTGTATGTCTTCTTGGGAGAAGTGTCTGTTGAAGTCCTCTGCCCATTTTTTAATTGGGTTGTTTTTGTTGTTTTTGTTGTTGAGTCGTATGAGTTCTTTATATATTTTGGATATTAGCCCCTTATCAAAGGTGTTATTTGCAAATGTCTCCTCCCATTAGGTTGGTTTTCTCTTTGTTTTGTTGATGGTTTCTATTGCTCTGCAAAGCTTTTTAGTTTGATGTAGTCCCATTTATTTATTTTTGCTTTTATTTCCCTTGCCTTTGAGGTGAGATTCATAAAATCATCTCTAAATCCTAGTCCCATGAGTTTGGTACCAATTTTCTTCTACGGGATTTATTGTTTCAGGTCTTATATTCAGATCTTTGATCGATTAAGAGTTAATTTTGGTATATGGTGACCAATATCAGTATAGTGTAATCCTTTTGCACATGGCTTTCTAATTTTCCCAGTAGTATTTATCAAAGAGGCTTTCTTTTCTTTGTTTGTTTTTGGCTCCTTTGTCAAAAGTTATTTGCCCATATATATATGTTTATTTCTCGGTTCTCAATTCTGTTCCATTGGTCTCTCTCTATGTTTTTTTCACCAACACCATCATTTTGATTATTGTCACTTTGTAGTATAATTTGAAGTCAGGGTGTATAATACCCCTGACCTTTTTTTTTTCCCCCTCAGGTTTGTTTGTCAATTCAGGGTCTTTGGTAGCTCCATACAAATCTAATGATTTTTTTTTCCTATTTATTTTTAAAAAGTGTTGTTGGGACATTAATGGGGATTGCATTAAAGCTGTATGTCGCTTTGGGTAATATGGCCATTTTAACTATGTTGATTCTTCCAGTCGTTGAACATGGAATATCTTTCATTTCTTTCTCTTCAATTTCTTTTAACAATGTCTTGTAGTTTTTAGTGTATAGAGCCTTTACATTCTCTGTTAAGTTTATTCCTAAGTATTTTATTCTTTTTTGTTGCAATTGCAAATGGAATTATTTTTTCCTTTTTCTGAAATTTCATTGTTTGTATTAAGAACACAATAGATTTTCGTACATTAATTTTGTATCCTGCAACTTTACTGTGTTTATTTATTGTTTCTATATTTTCTGGTGGAGCCTTTAGGATTTTCTATATAAAGACTCATGTCGTCTAAAAAAAGTGACAGTTTTACTTCTTTATTTCCAATTTGATGGCCTTTATTTCTTTCTCTTGCCTGATTGCTCTGGCTAGGACTTCTACTACTAAGTTGAATAACAGTGGTGAGAGTGGGCATCCTTGTCTTGTTTCTGATTTTAGAGGAAAAGCTTTAAGATTTTCACCATGGACTATGATGTTAGCTGAGGGTTTGTCACATATGGCCGTTATGTCGAGGTACTTTCCTTCTATACCCATTTTTTGAGTGTTTTAATCACTAATGGGTGTTGTATCTTTGTCAAATATGTTATCTGCATCTATTAATATAATCATATAATTTTTATCTTTTATTTTGTTTATGTGGTGTATCACATTGATTAATTTGTTCATGTTAAACTATCCTTGTGCCTCTGGAATAAATCCCACTTGATCATGCCATATTATTATTTTTAATGTATTGTTGTATTCAATTTGCTAGTATTTTGCTTAGGATTTTTGAATCTGTTTTTATCAGAGATATTGGTCTGCAGTTTTCTTTTTTCATGTTATCCCTTCCAGGTTTTGGAATCAGGGTAATGTTGGCCTCTTCTTCAGTTTTTTGGAAGAGTTTGAGAAGGATAGGTTTAAGTATTTGAATGTTTGGTAGAATTCCCTAGTGAAGCCATCTGGAGTTTTACTCTTTTGGGAGGTTTTAGATGATTGTTTCAACTTTCTTACTGTTGATCAGTTATGTAAAACTTCCAATTCTTTGTGATTCAGTCTAGGAAGGTCATGCATTTCAAAAATGTGGAACACTTTGTGAATTTACATGTCATCATTGATTAGGGGCCATGCAAATCTTCTCTGTATTGTTTCAATTTTAATATATGTGCTGCTAAAGTGAGCACAGCTCTTAACTTTATTATCATTAAACTTTTTGTGTATACAGTTTAGTAATAGATATTTTAGAAGATATGTTAATACATAAAATATGGACCTTAGCATTAGCTTATAATCTATTAATAGATATGATTTTATGCAACAATAATTCCAAATCAGTGTTTTTTTTTTAATTTAAGTAAATTTAAATTCTGAAAAAGATAGTTATTTTTATTCTACTTCTATGCAATCATTTTATGAAATCATAAAACTATGCTTAAATATCTTATGTTTATAGATTATAATGTTTATATAATTATATATGGATACAATTTTGTCATATTTCCTAAAGAGTCGCCTCTATTCTCAATGCCTCCTAAAAAACGCCTCTCTCCCTTCCTACTACCAGAAATATAAGTCATCCGCAAATTAATATAGGATTGTTGCCACAGAGAATAGTTACAAGCCAAATCTTGTTTCTTGATTTGTGAATATCAATATATTGTAGGGGCCAGAGGTTCTGATCTAAAACAACATGTGATTTTAAAAGTTTAGGGATCAACTGAAAAGGTTACATACTGTATGATTCTAACTATAAAACATTCTGGAAAAGGCATAATATAGAGACAGTAGAAAGATCTGTGATTGCTAGGGGTTGGGGTGGCAGAAGGGAAAGGATGAATAGGCAGAGCACAAAAAAAGGACTGTGAAAATACTCTGTATGATACCATAATGGTGGATACATGTCATTAAACATTTGTCCAGACCTGTTGAATGTACAATACCTAGAGTGAATCATAATGTGAACTATCGACTTTGGATGATTATCACATATCAATGTAGGTTCATCAATTTTAACAAATGTAACACTCTGGTTGGGGATATTGATAATAAGGGAGGCTATGAATGTATGAGGTAGGGATATATGAGGAATTTCTGTACTTAGCTTGGAAGTTGACACTCTTATCCTAATAAAAAACAAAGCTGAGAACTAGTAACTTTTGTTAAAATCATCGGAAAAAATGAGCTCACAGAGCAAACTGCCACCCCAAATCTGGAGAAATGAGTAAATCCAGAGAGTCATAGTTGAGATTAGCTAGAGCAAAAGTTGCCAGAACAATAAACTGGTAAAAAGATTTAAATGATAGTTTGATGAATTGTTGGAGGCTGGATGTAGGCTAAAATAAGAGTGAAAACCCCTGGGGTTGGATCAGTATTATAGGGACCCCTGCTCTTTTAGAGGTTTACCTCTAGAAATCCCACCAGGTCCTCATGGTGAAGATTTGAAGCCTATACCAGAGCTTTAGCAATGTGTAGGTAGGGAAATTACTCAACTCCCATCCCCTCTCGCCATTCTTTCACCAAAAGAGAAACAAAAAGTTGAGAAACACCTATCAATGTTACAGTCTAGGGATAGAAGACTACTAAAAAAATTAGGATTTAATAATAGGTTTATAGAATGCTTCATTTTCTCCATACCTTACTATTGTCCTAACAGAGCTCCAGCATACTGACAAGATTACAACTGAAAGAGCTGCAAAACATACTCTTTCTGAGAAGTTAAGGAAGACCAAAATCAGGAGAGAAACCAAAAAGATACTAGAGGAACTCAAAGAATCTGGGACTTACAACTACAAATATTTTAAAATAGCCCACTCTTAGATTAAAATAAATCCTTACACTAATAACCTATTTTCCTTAGTTATCATTGCTTGATACATGTCCATCTTTCAACAACAACAAAAAGACAAGTCATGCCAAAAAACAAGAAAGAAACAGTCTGAATAGGCAAAGTAAACATCAAATTCAAACTCAGAAACAGCACAGATGTTGGAATTATCAGATAGGGAATTTTAAATAACTATGATTAATATGTTAAAGGCTCTAATGGAAAAGTAGACAGCATGCAAGAACAGGTGGTTAATGGAAGCTTAGGGATAAAAATTCTTAAAAAGTAATCAAAAAGAAATGCTAAAAATTCAGGACACTGTAACAGAAATGAAGAATTTCTTTAATAGGCTTATCAGTGGACTAGCCATGGCAAGAAAATATTAAGTGAGTTTTAAGATGGGCCAATATAAAATTCCCAAACTGAAATAAAAAGAGAAAAAAAAATAATTGGAAAAAAAAAGTGAACAACAACAACAAAAAACCCCAGAACATCTAAGAACTCTTTGACAATATTGACATATAATATGCATATATTTGGAATACCAGAAAAAGAAGAGAGAATGGAGCACAAGCAATAATGACTAAAAATTTCAAAATTAATGACACACCAAATTACATACTCAGGAACTTCAGAAATCACCAAACAGGATAAATACTAATCAATAAACAAATCTATACCTAGGCATGTCATAGTCAAACTGTAGAAAATCAAAAAGAACAAAAACAAAATTTAGAGAAGCCAGAGAGAGGGTGGCGGTGGGGGGCGGAGGGAACTAACTTACCTACTATAGAACAGAGATGAGAATTACAGTGAACTTCTTAGCAGCAACTATGTAAGAAAGAGGTAATGAAGGAAAATATTTGAAATATTAAAAAAAAATCACTAAACTAAATTATCCAGTTAATTGTCCTTCAAAAATAAAGGAAAAATTAAACCTTTCTTAGAAAAACAAGAACTGAGGGAATTTATCACCAGCAGACATGATCTGCCAGAAACGTTAAACGTTTGAGGGAGAAAAAAAAATGATGTAAGTCAGAAAATTAAATATATGTAAAGAAAGAGAAAAAAAACAAACAAGAAATAAGTAATAGCATTTTTCTTTAATTTAGCTAAAAGATAACCCTTACCTTATAATATTAATGAAATAATTGTGTATAAATTAAACAAAATATGTGCAGCGTCTATATGTTTAAAACTACAACACTTTCATAAAAGGAATAAAAGTATCTAAATAAATCGAGAGATATCCATGATCATGGATTAGAAGAATCGATATAGTTAACAATTCTTCTGAACATAATCTATAGATTCAATATAATCCCAAGCAAACTCCAAGCAAACTATTTAGTAGGTTTTAAAAAGCTCATTCCAAAGTTTATATTGAAAAGATAAAATACCTCGTGTAGTCAACATAATGCTTAAGAAGAACAAATTGGAGGACTTGTATTATCTGACTTCAAGACTTAATGTAAAGTTACAGTATTCAAGACAGTGTAAACACATAGATCACAGGAATAGAATGGGGAGTCCAGAAGTAGAGTAACAGAAATGTATGTCAACTGATGTTTGACAAAAGAGCAGAGACAATTCAATGGAGAAATAATATTTTTTAGTAAGTTGTGCTAGGACAACTGGGTGTTCATATTGAAAAGAATAAATCTAAACAGGCATTATACTTCTCATAAAAACTAACTCAAAATAGGTTATAAATTTAAGTGCAAAACATACAACTATACAATTTCTGGAGAATAAATACAAGAAAAATTTAAATGATTTTTGGTTTTCCCACGAGTTTTTAGATATAACATCAAATTCATGATCCATGGAAAAAAGTTACACTTTATTAAAATTAGCAATTTCTGCTCTGTGAAAGAAAATGAAAAAAAAAGTCAAACTGGAAGTTTAATATTTTCAAAACACTATTTGATAAAGTTTGGTTTTTTAATCACAAACATACAAAAAACACTTAAAATTCAATTGTAAGAAAACAAACAACTAGATTTATAAATGAGCAAAATGCCTAAACAGACATGTCTATAAAGAATATATACAGATGGCAAATACATATGAAAAGATAAGTAACATCATTTGAAATTACAGGACTTCAAATTAAAACAACTCTGACATACCACTGCACTCATATTAGAATGTCTAAAATGTAAAAAATAATAATAATACAAAACAGACAATACCATTTGCTGGCCAGTATGCCAACAAGAGAAATTGTCAATCATTGCTAGAAGAATTTTCAAATGATATTGTCCCCTTTTTTTTTTAGGCGAGGCAACCCTCAGTTGACCTCACAGATTACAAGGACCTTGTCAGCTTACAATCTTTTATTTTTATGTTTCATACCTACAGCACCTGGTCTTCCTAGGTGGTCTGCCATCCAAGTACTAACCAGGCCTGACCCTGCTTAGCTTCCGAGATCAGACAGGATCGGATTTGTTCAGGGTGGCATGACCGTAAACAGTATTGTCACTTTGGAAGACAGTTTGGTAGTTTCTTAAAAAGCTCAAAACAGTCTTACTATTCAATCCAGCTGTTGAGCTCTTTGGTATTTACCCAACTGATTTGAAAATTATGTCCACACAAAAGTCTGCAAGTGAATGTTTATAGCATTTACTCATAAATGCCAAAAGCTGGGAGCAAAAAAGTTGGCTTTCAATAGGTTAATTTTTAACCAATTGTAGTACATCTATACAATGGAATAAAAAGAAATGAACTATCAATCCATGAAAAGACACAAATGAAGTCTCAGATATATGACACTGTGAAAAACAAAACAAAACAAAACAAACAAACAAAAAACTAAAAAAAAAAAAAAAAAGATTAGAGGTTGCCAGAGAGGAGAAGAGATGAGGGGGTTGAATAGGTGAAATACAGAGAATTATTTTAGAGTGATGAAACTATATGACATTGTAATGGTAGATACATGACACTGTCAAAAGCCATAGAACTTTATAGCATAAAAATTGAACCTTAGTATATGCAAATTACACACACACACACACACACACACACACACACACGCACACACAAAGTGGTTGGGTCTCAGGACAAAATGTAGAATTGGACAAAACAATCTAACTGTATTATATACGTAATGATTCACCAAATTGGATAGAGGAAAATATTTCTCTAAGTAATTTTTAAAATGAGTGGATACTAAGACTAAAGGAAAAAGAAAAGGTACGTAGACACTCTAGTGTAGTGAATAAAATTCTTTCCAACAGGAGTAATGGTTAACAATTTTGATATTGCTATACATGTATATTAGAATTACACAATTAAGTAAGTGGATAACAGATAGTGAAAGCTAGGCTTCTTGTAGCTGGAGTGAAAATTTCTAGATAA